ACACCGATCGAAATGGGGGCGCAGGCGGAAGTCACGTCGGCGACCAGGGCGGGGTAGCCCTCGGCGTCGGGCGCAGCGAGGAAGCGCGCAAAGCCCTCCTCGAGGCGGCGGTACTCGAGCACCCGCCGCTCCTGCTGCTGCAGCACCAACCGCACCAGCTCGCCGGCGCTGGCCGCCTCGTCGAGCGACAGCTGCGGCGCCGGCGGAGCGGCGTCGGGCGGAACGCGCAGAAGCGAGTCCTCCTTTGCGCTTGCAAAGGGGCGGCACGCGCGCTGGGTCAGCAGCTGGAGGCACGCTGCCGGGTCCATGCCTGGGCGGCGGGGCAAAGCGAAAAAAAACAATGCTTCCTCCTGCTCGTATTGCGCGCAAGTGAAGGGCTGAAGGGAGCTAGCCATTGGACTTTGGAGGTACTCTCTTCTCCCTCTCTCAAGGTCTGTGAATACACAGATCTCGGGGCGGGGGAGGGTCCATTGTGGCATTGAAACATGATAGGCCTCTTTAATACGCTCTTCGGCGGGCGATATTTTCTTGCGGTTGTAAAATCCTCGCGGCTTTACCCTACAAATGCCCCCCCCACAAGTTGGGAGCATCCGGATCATGCCCCACGAAGCCTTCCGACACAAAGGTGCTGACGCCGTCCTGAACCTTTGCGCGCGCTTGGTTTGCCAGTAATAGCAGGCATGCATCAACGTCGCTGTTCACCGAAAGGCCCTCGTCGCGAAGGAGTGCATGCGTGCTATCACAGAGGCAGGCGATGGAGGCGCCTACCCGGGCGGGCCTGCCAGGCAGGCCCTTTGCGTGCCACGTGACTGCATTCCCGCAGAACGAGACGCACCACAGCTCGACGTCGATCTTCACCGCGGGGGCGAACCCGCCCTTTTTGAACAGCCCGACAGCATGCGTGTTGCCCGCGTTCACATCCCCCTCCGGAAACCATCCGCCGGTGCCTCGAGCGCTTGATCGGGCCAGAGGCAGCCGAGGCGGCGGAGCAGCATCTGCCAGACACTGAGCCGTTTGCAGCCGTCTCACTAGCGGACGCAGGCCTCGACACGGGGCGACAGGCTGCCCCCGAGTCCACCATGGGGGGAGAGACCACGTGCATCGTGTGTTTCGCGAGAGTCAAGTCGCATGCTGCGGTCCCGTGCGGGCACCTGTGCGCTTGCGGGCCATGCTCTGAGCTGATGCAAGAGTGCCCGTATTGCCGCGAGCCGGTGATGATGAGGTCCAAACGTCCAGTCTAGATTGATAAAAAGAAAACCGCGGCCCGGGCCGAACAACGCGAGGGTCTCTGCCCGGGGAGGACCGAAGACCTTCGTGCTACTATCTCTGAAACGATGTCGGAAGATGAGCTGGCCACGTGCTTCGAGCGGGCGACACTCACTGATGCCGACGAGGCCGCAGTGGCGACGGCAGCGGCTGCACTCGAGGATGGCGAAGCTGCTGAAGCGTCATCCTCGAGTGCTTCAGCAGCTCAGCCGCCCGTTGGCCGGCGGCGCATTGAGGTGGCGGTTAACGACATGCGCGGGCTGACGCGGTGCGGCCGTGGGCGCCCTCTCCACTTGATAGTTTCGAGTGACTGAGAAGCGATCCTGCTCATCCTATAGCGTCGTGCACAAGGGGCGAGACGGCTCCATCTTCCTCATCCCTCGCGAGCCCCTCGCCGAGGACTGTGGAGCGGACGCCTTTGGTGCCAACGAGGAGCATGACGTGGCACGCCCTTCGCGGCACGACACGACTCGCTCGGTGAAGACGGGCGGCGCGGCGGCCACCGCGCGCACCGTGTTCCACTTCCGTGATGCCCGCGCACTCTGCCCCTGCAGGTTGCAGGCTGGCTCAGCGCCGCCGCGCGGGATTTGAGGCACAACCTGCCGGATGCGCTTCCGGCGGCGGCCAAGGCCGAGGCGGTGGCGTACGCGCGCCTGCTCGAGGACTGCTGCGCGCTGCGGCGTGCCTTTGTCCTTCGCCTGCGAGACCCGTCGGGGGAGTCCTGGGTTGCGGGCGTAGATGCGGCCGTATGCGGTGCTAGATGCGGCCGTATGCGGTGCTAGATGCGGTGCTAGATGCGGTGCTAGATGCGGCCGTAGATGCGGTGCTAGATGCGGCCGTAGATGCGGCGCCTAGATGCGGTCCTAGATGCGGAGGAGAGGTGCTTGCATTCCGCAGATCTGTCCCTTGCACTCGCTCGGCCCCAGATGAGGACAAGACCGCACGAGAGACCGCACGAGACCGTGCCCCCACCCTGACTGTGTGTTTGCATTCGCCAGGTGGGCGGGCCAGACTCGCGCGTCGGCTCGGCCGTGCCGCCTGTGCCGCCGCCCGCTCCGGCGCTGCCTTCCGCTCCGCCTGCTCCCTCGGCGTGCTCGCCCTTCGAGGCCTTTGCGCAGCGGCTCGCCCGTGCCAGACAGGTGATCGTCATGCTCGGCGCGGGCGCGAGCGTCTCGGCCGGCATCCCCGACTTTCGCTCGCCCGGCACGGGGCTCTACTCGCAGCTCGAGTCGTACGGCCTCCCCTTCCCGGAGGCCGTCTTCGACCTCACCTTCTTCGCGGACAACCCGCGCCCCTTTTACCGCCTCGCAAAGGAGCTGTGGCCCGGCAACCACGCGCCGACGCCCGCCCACCACTTCATCTCCCTGCTCGCCGCACGCGGCATCCTGCGCCGCTGCTACACGCAAAACATCGACTCGCTGGAGAGCGCGGCGGGCGTGCCGCCCGAGCTGACCGTCGCTGCCCACGGCAACTTTGACGCGGCGCACGCGTGGTCGGCGTCTCGGCCCGGGGGCTCGCTGCGCCGCCGCCAGGCGGTCGGCGTCGAGAGGCTGCGGGAGGCGCTCTGGCAGGGCGAGGAGGCGGTGGAGGCGCTCAACGAGGAGAGCGGCGGGCTGGTCAAGCCCGACATCGTCTTCTTCGGCGAGCAGCTTCCCGAGCGGTTCGGCCGCCTCGTGCCTGCCGACTTTGACGCGTGCGACCTGCTGCTCGTCATGGGCACGTCGCTGCAGGTGCAGCCCTTTGCCTCGCTCGTCGACATGCCGGCCCGCGACCGTAGATGCGGAAGCCAGATCTCTGTGCTCCAGAACGAGACGACACGCCCTCGGCTGTACCCCGCTGTACTGCAGCTGCTCTCACTGGAGTCGCCTCGTATTCACGCGATGCTCGGAAAACGCGGCGCGGTGCCGTAGTCACGCCCTGACGCTAGTGTGTGCATGGCGCAGGCCCGCGACGTGCCGCGGCTGCTCATCAACCGCGAGCTCGTCGGGTCCTTTGACATTGCGGACGCCGGCGGCGCGGGCCCAACCGGCGCGGACCCTCTCGAGCGGCTCCTCTCGCCGCCGCGAGACGCCTTCTTCGAGGGCGACTGCGACGCGGGCGTGACCGAGCTTGCGCGGCTCGCCGGGCTCGGCGACGACCTGCAGGCGCGCGTCGCTGGTGGAGGAGGAGGCGCTGCAGGCACGGCTCAAGCGAGCAGATGACCGGTCGGGGACGTGGCGGACGCCCGCCCGCAGGCGCGCAGCCGCCCGCCCCGCGCCCGCCCAATGCGGGGAGATTTGGGAGAGCGGCATTGTGCACGGAGCTAAGTGCGATGCCGTTCTCAACGGAGTCGCTTAGGCGGCTCCGGAGGTGTGCTTGTGATAAGGTAAGGTAAGGTAAGGTAAACTTCTCCACACAGTGATAGTACCAGCACGTGCCCCAGTCCGAGAGAGAGATTTTTAGCAATACCAAACGCCAGTCCCCGCGCCGAGGGGTGTCGAGCCTGTCTGCTGTGAGAGATAGCGTTGGAGCTTTTCTTCAAGACACTTTTTGTGGTACGTGGAGTGCAGTCATTCACCTCACCCAGCGGGCCGGATGATGGCATCGGCCGAGAGCACTTGGGGAGCACTTGGAGTGCGTCATTAACCTCACATCCCGCGCCCCGTGTTTTTCTTCTTCCCGCTGTCCGCCTCGATCGGCGCCGGCGAGGAGCACAAGTAAGACAGAACCGGCCAAAGCAAAGCAAGGAGCTGGCCGCATGCCAAGAAGCTGGCCGGTTCTACTCTGGGCGCCGAATGTCATCGGGTACGTGCGGATCGTGTTGACCTTCGTGGGCTACCACTACGCGATGCACGACTGGCGGCTCACCGTCGGCACCTATGTCATCTCGCAGGCCTGAACCTCCCCATTGTGTAGCGCGGCCGGCTGCGGTGCCAATATGTCCTCAGCCTCCGTCCTGCCCGCGCCGCCGGCTTTGGCCGCTTGGTCGCACCTCTCCTCAATTACTGCCGCGCTCGCCGCTGCTTCGTTTACCACCGCCCGGGCGCCTCGCCCGGTTGCCTCGTCACCGCCGATTGGTCGTCTCCCCAGGGACTCGACGCTGCGGATGGGCTCGCGGCGCGGCTGCTCGGCCAGTCCTCCACGTTTGGCGCGGTGCTGGACATGGTGCGCCACCCTCAGAGAAGCTTCAGAGCAGCTTGTGACGCCACACCGCGCCCGGCAGAAGCCTCAGAGAAGCTTCAGTGAAGCTTCCGCTGCCGAGCCACGCCGCGCTGGCTGACCGCCCACCAGACGCCGGCCCCTCCAGCCCTCCTCCCCGAAGCGGTGACAGCGGGTGGCCTCGGTGGCGGCTCCTGGAGCCAACCGTGTGTGTGTGCATGTGTAAGACCGGCTGACCGGCTGGTTGAGCGGCTGGCGGGCTGACTGGTCGTCCCTACGCCAGGTGACGGACCGCGCGTCGACGACGTGCCTCTGCATCATACTTGGCTCCCTCTACCCGCACCTCGGCGTGGGACACTTCCGAGACACTTCCCAGACACTTTCCGAGGCCACTTCCGAGACACTTCCGAGACACTTCCGAGACACTTTCCGAGAGACTTCCGAGATCCGCGTGACACTCTCCAGACACTCCCCTCCTCCCCCCCTTCCTCCAACGCCCTAGCGCCTGCGGACACCCGCCGACACGTCCGCAACGACACGGCCGCAAGACACGTCCGCAACGACACGTCCGCAACGACACGTCGATCAGACACGTCCACAGTACTTGTCCGCTGCTCTCCCCTTCTCCCTCAGGTGCGGTGCTCTGCGCGCTCGTCACCCTCGACATGTTTTCGCACTGGTACCACATGTACGCCTCGCTCAAGCTCGGCCTCGGATCGCACAAGGAGAGCACACGCAGTAATGCACTTCGCCGCAGCGCACTCGCCGCAGCGAACGTGCCGCAATGCACATGCCGCAGCGCATTCGCCGCAGAGTGCATGCCGCAGCAGTGCACACGCTGCGCACACACGCCGCCTCGCAGAGCGAGATGAGCCGAGAGGAGCCGAGGTTGGCCAACCGCTCCTCTCCAGGAGTGCGAGAATGCGCTGCTCCGCTTCTACTACAAGAAGCCCGTCCTCTTCGTCGCCTGCGCCGGCACCGAGTTTTGGTACGTCTTGCCCGAGAGGACCCGAGAGGACCCGAGAGGACCCGAGAGGACCCGAGAGGACCCGAGAGGACCCGAGAGGACCCGAGAGGACCCGAGAGGACCCGAGAGGACCCGAGAGGACCCGAGAGGACCCGAGAGGACCCGAGAGGACCCGAGAGGACCCGAGAGGACCCGAGAGGACCCGAGAGTGGGCTCCTCGTCCGATGCACCTCGTCCGATGCACCAGTGGCGAGGGGGCGCCTGATCTCTCGCCCGTAGTCTCGGGCTCGGTGTCTGATGTCTCGGGCACACCTCGCCGCAGGTACGTCGCGATGTATGCGGCGCACTTTGCCGACGCCGCGGACTATGCCGGCCTGGTCTTGCGAGCGACGCTGCCAATCATGCTCTTCAAGCAGGCGACACACACGCACGCGTGCTCACAAGCCTGCCAGCGTGCCGCCACACAGTGCCGCCTCGCCCCTCGCCCCACACCAGCCAACTCTGCCGCCCCAGGTCTGCAACGCGGTGCAGCTCGGCGTGGCGATGCGAATCATTCTCGAGTACGACGAGCAGGAGCGCCAAAAGGCGGAGAAGGCGGCCTAGCCGGCCCCGCCCCCCCGCCCCGTCCGTTTGCTGCCCCGCTCTGCGTGATTCCATGCCGCCGCCCCCCTGATGTGTTGCCGGCCTGCGGTCCTCGTGTTGTGGCACGACCGCCCCGCTCCTCTTTCTCGCGCGCGGCGCGCTTCACCTTCAGCACGCCGCCCTTGACAGCACGAGACGCGGGCGGAATCGCTGTCGGGAAGCGGATGGTCGGGGTGGATGACAATGCTATCATATCGACAACCCGAAATCGTGTGTTTTTCAGAGCGCGGGCTGTGAGTCTTTGTGTTGTCTCTTGAGAGAGCGGAGAGAGAGGAGGGAGCAGGGAGCTGGGAAGGGAGGGAGCGCCGGGAGGGAGGGCGAGGGAGAGAGGAGAGAGAGAGAGAGAGAGAGAGAGAGAGAGAGAGAGAGAGAGAGAGAGAGCACAGACACGAGACACACACACAAGCTCACAAGACACTCAGCTGCCAGCTGGGCGCTCGTGCACATCAGTCATCACGAGTGTCGAGTCAGCGTACGGCACTACGGTCTACGCCACTCGCGGCCACGACCCCCCCGTCGCCCCCCCCCCCAGCACTCAAGGTGCGCCAAGGGCACAAACAACAGGCGAGACTAGTGGAGCTTCTGGAAAAAAGAAAAATCGGGTCGTTGGCGATATTTCTTTTTTGTCGACATATTTCTTTTTCTCCAGGCGGGGCTCATCGTCGCGAAGATGGACCAGGTGCGCTCCACCATCGTCGTCTCGGGCTGCCTCGAGCGCGAGTTTGGGAAGGAGCAGCTCGGCCGGCTGCAGGGCTCGCTCGAGGGGTGGGCCGCCTCGGTGCAGAGCTTGCTCAAGGTGGTGGCGGACTCCAAACCGGCGCCCTGAGCGGCGGGCGGAGCCGCGGGCGGAGCCGCCCTCCGACGGCGAGGCGGGTGAGCGCCGAGAGAGCGGGGAGTGTCCCACGGCCCCGCAAGCCTACATGTTGTAGAGCCCTCTCTGACGTGGTCCCGTCGCGGCTGCGCGCGGCGCCGCCGTCCCGCCGTGGCGGCATGGGCGATGGGCGATATCCGGTATGCGGCGCGGGGGCGGGCGGGCGAGCGGAAGAATTAAAGTCTTAAAAGTCAAAAATCAAAATCCGTGTGGCCGTGGGGCACGGGGAGGCCCTCTGCTCGTCCTACGTCCTAGAGGCTCGTCTGACACCTCTGAGGCTGAGGCCTGAGCATGCACTCCGATGCACCTGAGTGTTTGTGCCCACAATCGGCCACATCGCACATCCACATGCGTTCTCAGCTCCTGCATCATGCGTTGTTGCACTTGTTCCGCCGCGCCGGGCCTTAGGGGCGGCCCCCTCACCCCCCCCCCCCCATTCCCATCCCCCCCCACCCGCCGCCTCGCCCGTGCAAATCGTGCGCGGGCGAGAGATGCTCGAGGAGCTCGAGCTCGAGCGCGCAGAGGGGATGGGCGAAACGAGCCCGCACTCGGGGCTCACCGACACGCTGCTGATCGAGCTCGGCAAGAACTGCCCGAACCTCAAGTCCCTCACGCTGAAGGGCCACCTCGACTTTTCGGACAAGGGCCTGGACGCGCTTCTCGGCGGATGCCGCCAGCTCGAGAAGCTCAAGCTGTCCACCGCGACCATCTTCCACCCACGGCTCTCACGCATCCGTCTGAGCCCCGTGTGCGTCGACGCCATCCGTGCACGCGGCTTCCGGATGGCCGACCTCGCCCCGTACTCTCTCAAGTCTTCTGACGATACACGCCTCCTCGTCAGCCCGGCCCAGTTCTTTGGCCTGACATCAATGTCCTCGTATACCGAGGTGTCCAGTGCGGAAGCGACGACGCAGGACAAGATCTACCCGTACGCGTAGCCTCTCTCTCTCCTGGTCGCGAGGCATCGTACCGCTGCCATTGGCCCCGCAGCCGAGCGCAAACCAGGGCCGCCTCCCCCTGCGCGCCCCCCAGCTCTCCCCTTACGGTACGTTTCGCGTGTGTACGTCGGTCTGCACACGCCTCGTTCCTACGTCGTTTGGCGGTTCTGCATGCTTCCTCCGTTTTGCGCCCAGGCGGCGGCGCTGAGTGTACGGTGTGCGCCGCGTACGTGCACGAAATCGAATGATCCCGGCAATAAAGCGAAACCTCGGCAAAACGCGAGCACACATATTTTTCACACAGACTTAATGTAGTGGGGGAAATGGCTCAGTACAGTGTCCGAATAAATTTTTTCCTTGCCGCTCTTCTGGGCCGGTATGCACCAAAAGTGTTCGGTAGACCAGCCTCTCGGTACACGCCACGGCCCCGGGCTAGGCCCGATGCGTCCGCTACCACGCTCCAAACATGCGCACCGTCCTGCTGCAGGTCGCCATCAAGGAGCCGTCCTCGTCGTGTACGTCGTGCTGCCGTCGCGTGTACCGAGATGCCTCGCAACCGAGGCCTCGGCCGAACGGGCAAGAAGCATAAGAAATCAGCCAACGACAACATCCACAGGCAGCCCAAGGCGACCACCGAGCCCACGGTCGCCACCGAGGCGCCGGAGCCGCCCGCCGCGCCCGACACCTCGCCGAAAATGGAGGTCGAGCCGGCAGCGCCCGACGCGCAGGCGCTCGCGACAGGTGCGGCTGCTCGGCGACGTCGAGCGTGGTGCCCGACGGCTCAGGAGCCTTCTACCATAAACCACTACCACGGCTGCCACCGTCGGCGCCTTCGCTCGAGCTCTCCGAGGCCGCGTTCTGACCTCGTGCCGCGGCTGTTGTCGCCTGCCGGAAAAAATCCGGGGTTTAGCTGGCGTATCTCGGGCCCACTTTAGAGCTAGGGCATGATCTTAGGTGTTCTGGATAGCCCACAAGGGTCTTCTTTGGCATGGTAGCGGTGGTTTTGCGCGAGGCGTTCATTCAAAAATCACCATTTCCCCCACTACTTAATGACTATCACGCTTATATGGTTATGCGTTATGCGGCGGGCCACTCGCACAGAGCGCTCACCAGAAAAACGAAGTACATGGCAGTCAGGACGGCGCGTCGACGACGCACGGACCCCCTCCCTCTCTCTCCTCCTCCAGCTTGAGCCAAGCAAGCCAGGACTGCGGCAGCGGGCCTGGTCGCACCAGCTGCGTGTAGTACTCAAAAGTAACGCCCTCCTCCTCGGCCGCGGCCTGCCGGCTCATCTTAGCCGCGCCGGCCCCGCCGCCCGGCCCGTAGTCAACGCAGCGGCGCACGCAAGGCGCGCAGCGGAGGAGGCCCCGCACGGCGGCTGGCCAGTCCACAGGCCACATGGCGAGCGAGCGCAGGAGGTACTCGTGGAGGCAAGCGACGGACGAGCCTTCGAGGTTCGCGCCGTCGACGCACGAGATGAGAGGCCGCGCCAACGCGTCGCTACCAACTGCGGCGTGCCCGGCGGCCGAGCGCAGCGCGCACAGCGCCGCCCCGCACGCGCCGGAGAGGAGGCTCTCGCAGTGGTACGGCGCCTGTGGGACAAGTCCAGGACATGTCCAGGACGTGTCCAGGACGTGTCCTTGAGAGGCTCTTGCAGTGGGTTCGTGCCGAGACAGGAAGCAGCCGGGTCGCCGGCCGTGGCGGGCGGCACGCCTATGGGAAGGTTCAGAGACGGTTCAGAGACGCTCGGAGACGGCTCAGAGACGGTTCAGGGACGGTTCAGAGAAGGTTCCAGGCACCCTCGTGGCGACCGAGGGCATACGACTCCGTCATGAGTACACCAGAGTCAGGGCTTGTGGAGACGTATATCGTGCCGTGTATTCAGCATCGCGTGCAGTCACACGGACTCGGATCCGCAGTCCGCGTCTAGGGCGGACACGCGCCTCTCCGCACCACGTCTGCAGCCGCCGCAGGGCGGAGGGATCCCCGGCGACCAGGAAGGCCTCGCTCCCATTCGCGACCACCAGGGAGACGTGATCTCCCGACGAGGCGACATACTCCTGCACGAGGGCGCGCGCCCGTCGCTCGTCCACCTTGGTCAACGCCAGGGCGTAGGAGGAGGGCGGAGGCGGAGGCGAGGAGGGAGGCGGCGGCGAGGAGGGAGGCGGCGGCGAGGAGGGAGGCGGCGGCGAGGAGGGAGGCGGCGGCGAGGAGGGAGGCGGCGGCGAGGAGGGAGGCGGCGGAGACGGCGTGCCGAGAGAAAGAGCCTCGGAGACAGCGAGGCCGAGATAGAGCAGTCCACGGGCAAAGGATTTGGAGTGCGCGGTAAACGACGCCTCGTCCGTGCTGCACGCCACAACCATGGCCGCCGCCAGGCCCTGACTGTGCCCGGAGGCTGCCGCCACGCCGGGAAAGCCCGTGCCGTCTGTCGCCGACACCGGACGCCACCGCCAGGAGTAGCGAAACGCGGCGAGCTGGACCGCGTGCGTCAACACGAGCGCCACCGGAGGCGAGTTGAGGTAGTCGAGGTCCGGCGTCGAGGCCCGCTCCTTCGCCCACGTCGCGATGTCCAGGCCGTGCGCCAGGTGCCGACCGGCGAGTGCGGCGTCGAGGCGGCCCACCTCAGTCACGAGGAAGCAGCTGAGGTCGGCGAGAAACGCCTGGCTCACGGCCACTGTCGCGAGCCGTCGGAGCTCTGCTAGCTGGCCCGACGGGATGCCTTGGCCGGTGAAGAGGGCGGCGTGGCTGGGTGCGCCGGCATCAGCATTCATGTACACGCCAATCACGAGACCGAGCCGAGCGTTGAGCGTCGTGGGCTATGTCTACCCTCCCGCGTTGCTCGGAGCCGCGACAGGCCGGTGGGTGGCGTCGAGTGGGTGAACCTTCTTTTCCAGGCTGGGTCTGTCAGCAAGCGGGAGAAAAGCTTAGGCTGAACAAGCTTTTCCTCTCGCACCCCGTCTCTTTTCCTTTCCTTTTTTCTCTACAGCACCCTCTCTTTTCCTCTCTATTTTCCCGGGGAAACCATCAAATTTTCCGGGCTCTGAGCCGAGTCTGAGGCTGGTTTGGGCCCAAAATCAGCCAAATCGGCAAAATACCGGGTATTTTGCGGGTATACCTGGAAAACCCCGGGTATGCCTGGAAAATACCCTGCGACCGCCTGGGTGTCGTGCCGATTTCCTCAATTTTGCGTCAGATTTTGCCCCAGACCAGCTCTCAGACTCACTCAGGGAAACTCGCGAGTTTCCAGAATGGAGCACCAAACACCCTCTGTTTTCCCTGGAAATTTCCGGAAACGCAAAGTGCTGGGGACCCTCTGTTTTCCTTTTTGTTTGCCGGAAAAGCTTGTGCAGGCCAAGAGAAGACCTTACCATACCCCGCAAAAAGTCCGAACCCTGGGCCACTGCAGGTGAACCTTCTTTTGTAGACCGCTAGGATTGAGAGCAGCCTCGCTCTCAATCCTAGCCTGGTAGAAAAGAAGGTTCCCCTCGAGTGGGGGTGGAGTGGAAGTTTCCCCCCCCCCCCCCCCCTCCCCCCCCCCGTGCCGGTGTTCAGTGTTCGCACAAAAACACAACCACGGACCCAAGGCAAGACGCACAAGCTCAGAGAGAGAGAGAGAGAGAGAGAGAGTCACAAGCTCAGACAGTCGAGAAAGGGATAGACCGCAACGACAGTCAGAAGTCAGCGCTGGGTCCCAGGGCGAATGCGATGACGGCCTCTAGTGTGAGCTCTAGCTAGCTAGTGAGCTCATCGCTACTATATGCATGCAGCGAGTTAGGAGCCGACCGACCGACCCTCGCGCCCGGTGCTCACCGACGGCCGGGCGGGCCACCCGCCCACGCGCCGCCTACGCGCAGCGCGTGCGCCGCAAACTCGCAACAACAAACTCGCCCGCCGACAGCGCCGGCCAGTCGCCATCCGCCGTTGTTTTATTTTTGAGTGCGTGTGTGAGCTTCTATGTGCGTTTATGCGAGCCTATCGGCCGCGATTGTCGGCTTTTGAGGAACAGGCTCCGTCTCTCACAGACACTGTCTGTCTATGAAGGGACCTACGGATGGTCGCGACAGGGGGCGAGGAGCGCCACTTCTTTCGCAATTTTTCTTCTTTCTGCGGCATGAACATGAGCGGCAGCCCAGCCCTGCTGCCCGATCTGGCGGTGGGCGACCTGGCCTCGCTGCGCGCCTTCCTCTCCGGGCGGCGGACGCGCGGCACGTCGCTCGCGGCCCAGCTCGATGCGCGGCTCGACACCGAGAAGCAAGACACGCTGCTCACCTGGGCCGCTCGCCACGGGCAAGCCGAGGGGGTGCGGCTGCTGATAGAAGCCGGCGCGAGCGTCGGGGCGACGACTGGCGGCGGCGCTTCCGCGCTGCATATCGCGTGCCAGGAGGGCCACGTCGAGTGCGTGCAGCTGCTGCGCGAGGCTGGCGCGGCGGTCAACCAAGCCAATGACGACGGCCGGACGCCGCTGTACGCCGCATGTCTGAACGGCCACCTCGAGTGCGTCCGGCTGCTCCTCGAGGCCAGCGCGGCGGTCAACCAAGCCGAGGAGGATGGCGCCACGCCGCTGTACATGGCGTGCGGGAAGGGCCACCTCGACATCGCCCAGCTGCTTCTCGAGGTTGGCGCAGCGGTCGGCCAAGCCATGAACAACGGCGCCACGCCGCTGCTCATCGCATGCCTCAACGGCCACCTCGAGGTCGCCAAGCTCCTCTCCTCCTACGGCGCCTCCCGCGCCGCGGTGACGCCCTTCGGCACGCCTGAGGAGTTTGCAACCGAAGAAGGCCACGCCGACCTCGCCGCCTGGCTGGTCGCCAGCCACGGCTGGACGCCGCTCGCGCACCTTGAGACCCTCACCGCCGCCCGCGCTCTCTCCCTGCTGCGCAGCGGCGCAAGCCTGCACGAGGGCGAGCCGACGCCGCTGCAGCGCGCCGTGGGCGGCGAGCCGGGCGAGGCGGCGGCGCTGATCCGGCGGGCGGCGGCGCCGTGGTCGCCGGCAAACCACTCGCTCTTCCCCGCGGCGGCGCGCGAGTACGCGGTAACGGTCATGCGCATCGGGTACCAGATCGCGCTCTCTCCGCCCGACGCCGCCGAGGCGCGCCCGGATTGGAGCGCGCTGTCCGACGTGTGGCGCGAGCACGTGCTGCCGCACGCCGTGGCGCGCTGAGGCGCACACTACGAGGCGGAGCTGAGTGCGCCGCGGTCCGAGGGTCTCTCAGGGCACGCCTCGGTCCCCGGGCTAGTCGCTTCGAGCGGCTGTGGCGAATGATCTTCATCTCTTGTCGCTTTATATGTACGAAGGTGGTATTACTTTTTTGTGTTGGAACAAAGAAACGGAAAAATGGGAAAAAATCGCACACCCCGGCGCTAGGGCTCGTAGCTGCGCCGTAGGGTTGTCAAACGTTAACTTTGGGCCTAACAGTTGCACTATTGTTGGCTGAAATCCTCAACGTTGTTCAAGTGTTCTCCCCAGCCCAAGCTGTTACTGATTTGTTACTGTTGTTAGGCGTGCCGTCCTCCCATGCGCCATGGTCTTTCTTGTTGGTTGGGCCCCATCCCTCCCGCTTTTGGGTGGTCTGCCTTCTAACAAGCCTTCTTTCTTTCTTTTTTATTGGCCGCGTCGGGGTGGTGCGAGGTGACGACGGCACTGGACGTGCAGCTGCGCGAGATTAGGGCGAAGCTGTCGGGCAATGCGTACTGACAACACATAACAAACAAGAGATTCGTCTATGAAGCTGGCTGCCCGTGGACTCTGGCGGCTGGGGCGCTGCCGCCTAACCCCGACGTAACGCAAAGGTCTTGGCGCACTCAGAGCCCCGTGTAGTACTTGGCCTTGGACGGGTCGGACTCGGGCTTGCGGCCGCCATCGAAGAAGGCTGCGGACACCTCCGCCTCGTCATCCGCCGCCCACGCCTGCGACGCGTCCCTCATCTGGCGCAGCTCCGCCAGCACAGACACGAGCAGCGACTCAGCCTCCTGCTTCCGCCCGCCTTTGAGCATCACGAACGCAGCGGCCACCTCGCGCGGCGAGAGTGCACCCCAGTCGATGCACGAATCAGACACGAGGTCCAGCGCCTCCTCGGCAGCTGGCTCGGCGGGCCTCGGTTCGGCACCCGTGGTGGCGTCTGTCTGCAGGCCGGTGTAGTACTTCTGAGCGCCTGTCGGTGTGGAGACCAGAGTGGCGTGAGTCGTGTACCGTGTGCTCTTCCTTCCTGCGGCGCACCGAGAGCCGGCGTCTTCTTGAAGAAGGAATTGAGGATCACCGTCGGGTCGGCAAACGAATACCGGTCCGACTCGCTCTTGAGCGACGGCGAGCAGGTTCGTGCGCGTCCGCAAAGGGCGGGCCGCTGGGCAGAAACGAAGGCGGATGTCGAAAGAGCGGGGACGGCGAGCAGCATTCAGCAATTGCCGAGGCCCAGTAGAGTGAAAGAAGAATTCGGAGCCAAGCTATTTTGTTCATACATACATACATTTGTTCAGGGCGTCGCACGTCGCAGCCGTGCGCGTCCCTGGGATCGCCGCTCGCAGCCGTTCGTTGATATGCGAGGAGGCAGTTCATTGAGTCTATTGAGCGGGAGGATGATTATGATGTCAAAGAGTGGATAACGAGATGAGTGCAGAAGCATTGCACGTTTTGGCATTCGTAAAAAAGCGCATGTGCTTGTGCATCCATACGTGCATGATGTAGCATGCGCATGATTGTGCGCATGTGCATGTGCTTGATGAAACTTGCACATGCTTGAGAGCCTGGGCGCTCTCGCCGCGCGATGACTGCATTGCGATTGGGGTTCCCCTCTCCGGCGCCCCAACACCGACCTTACTCCCGTGTCACAACGAAGCACGAGAGCGTGCACGACAGAGCGACAGCGCAGCGCACTGCCGTCCGGTCGGCGAAGGGGCGGCTGCTGCGCAATGTGATCAGTTCTGATGAATGTACCGGGGCCCGACGGATAGGTGAATCCGGGGCACCCTCCACTCGAAACCCAGGCTTGGGGTTCGAGGTGGCCCCCACCCTGGGGCCTCCCATCAAAGGGACTGAGGCAGAAGACGCCCAATCTTGCACGCGTGCAAAGAACCCATTCACCACGTCCGCGGAAGTAGGTAGGCGACACAAACAGAATTTAACACAACACTCTCTCACACAGCCAGACAGGCTACACAGGCGCGGACTGGCACCTGGTACTAACACAGGCACACTCACTAAGAGAAAAAATGCTGCGCGGCGACGAGGAGGTGGTGGACGCGATCCGACGGGCGTGGTCTTGCTGCCGGTCCACCTCGACGTCGCACGCCGCCAGGCGCGGCTGGTGGCGGCGCACGCCGCCCTCGACGCCAAGTACCGAGAGGACAAGACGACGTACTATTTCTACGACAATACTGGCCGGGCCTACCGCATCTACAACCCGAGAGGGCTGCCCCCGGCGCATGCATACCTTCCGCTTACCGAATGGAGCTCGCGCAGCAATCTTCTACAACACGCCCAGCGCCGATACTCCGCGATGATTCACCATTCGGCTTGGAGGGACATGCATGCGGTGGCGGGCCGCGCAGGGAGGAGGGAGCAGGTGCGGTTTGACTCGGCGAGCCAGTTCGGCGCGGGCATTTTTGAACGCGATCCCGACCCGCGCGCACTTCCGCCTGCCCTCGCGGGTGCTGCGCTTCGCGCTGCAGCGCCGCTTCGGCTTGCACCTGTCGATGATGACGGACGTCATGGCGGACGGCATCTACGCCAGCACAATCTGTGCCCTTTGACGCCCTCGGCGACGTGGCGCAGAACGACGGCGCGGCGGGCCACCAACCAGACGCGGCACATCAAGGAGGTCCTCCTGGACCTCGTTCGTCGCGCTGCTACGAAAGTAAGTAAGTATGCCGTGTGGTGTATCGCCTAAGTACGTACTTTTAGCTTACTGGGAGAAAAGGGAGAGGGGGTTGTGTTCTCTCTCTCTCCTAAGTAAGGACTGGACACCGGCGTGGTGTATACCAAGCAAGGTTTCGGCGAAAGTGGCCGGGGCCGCGGCAATTGAAATGACTTAGCCCCAAAAACAAGGTCGTGGGGTTCTCCTGGGCACAGCGTCGCCTCGCGATGCAGCACGACAGGAAGACCGCCCCCGCGGCTCTCGAGAGGGCGGCGGAAGCCGCCGTGGCGCAGGCAGGAAATGTCTCATTGTACATCAACGCCACCAGCAAACTCTTCCCACCGCGAGAGCTGCAGAGGGGCGTCAGTGTGCAGAGCGTGCTGGCCTCCTGCACCAACATCTTCACCGTGCTGCCGGACAAATTGGCACTTGACGACCGCGAGCGCCTCTTCGAACGGTCGCGGCCTGTCTCCGCCATCGACTCGTTTGTCTCCCACGCTTGGCGTTCCGATGGGAACCGCAAGTGGATGGCCCTGGCTCTCCACGAAGTTGGCCTTCTGCCTGTAGCTGTCGCAATTTTCGCCTGCCTCGCGATGAGCTGCCTGCAGCGCGCTGTGGAGCTGCCGGGTAACGTCAGAACGCTGATGGTCGCCGACAACCCGACCGTTCTCCTCGCATCGCCGTGGGAGTACCTAGCCGGCCTGCTCGCCGCCGTTGCCTCAGCCTTCCTCCTCCTTGCTATGCAGCAACGCATCTACTTCGTCGATGCGGCGTGCATCCACCAAGCGAACAGAGCCCTAAAAACGACAGGCATTCGGCACCTGGCCGGCTATGTCGCCATGTCGCAACGGCTTCTCGTACTCTGGGACGAGCATTACTTTGACAGGCTCTGGTGTGTGTATGAGTTGGCTACTTTCTCTGCGATCCATCCTAACAAGCCGGTGATATTCCTCCCTCTTCGCAGCGCCATTGCTACATTCGTGACCGTGGCATTGGAGGCCATAGCGTTTGGCATGATTGTCGTGTTCCACATTCTCCTCTTCGACGGCGACATGCCTGGATCATTGCAAGGCCCAGCCCTGTTGGGACAAGGGTGGTGGGAAACCGAAGTGCTACTCCTTTTCCTCGTCTTTGTTTTCGTCATTGGCTTTGGCTACTTCTTAATCTGCATTGGCGCTACCATGTTCGGTGCTGATATGGCGCTTCAGCGGGTCGCGCTCCAAAAGCACCTCGAGTCGTTCGACGTACGGGCAGCCGGGTGCTACAGTGCCGCCGATCGCGTCGAAATCTACGCCGCGATCGGCTCCATGTACGCGCAAAATGGCATGGACGGCTTGGATGCATTCAATCAGATGGTGAGAACTGCACTCAAGGACGAGGTGCTGCAGCGACTACATCACGGAGATGGGACCACGTTGCCGTACTCGACGCTGCTGCTGGTGATGCTCCCACTTGTATGCCTCCAATTCGGCTTCATCAATGCAGCACTCCGAGAGACCTCGGCGTTCAGTCAAGCCCTCTGCTTCGTATTGATTGCAGTCGCAACATTTGCAGTGGTTCCGTCAGTTGTCGCCATGGCCTTCGATCGGGGCGCGCGCCTGGCACGTTCGAGCAACCAGCCAGACCTCCCAACCTTTGCGTCCCAGGCTAACCTGGCGATTGCCTGGGCTGCAGTGCGTGGTGCCACCGAAATGCTGCTTACCTCTCTCTCCGCTTTTTTCTTGCTCTGTATGATGGATTTCCCAGAAGTGGTTGGGCTCAGTCAGATGCCGCGTGCGTTGCTGCTGGCGTTCGCATGCCTATTTTGCATCACTTGGCTCTGCATGGCGCGCTGCACGTTTTGGCCGCGAGCAGACCATACAAGTGCGGACACACTCTGGCAAGGCCGGGGCAGGGGCGGTGACGGCGGCAACGTCGCCGTTGAAATTGAGTAAAGACCGGCCTGGGCGGCGCAGCAACCAGCATGACAACAGCATGAAAGCACATAGGAAGAAAGCGAATTCACGTTAATTTTGTTGAGAGAGTTTCCCCGTAAATTATTTTTCAGTAGTGCACCTGTGTTAGTGACATTGCGCCAGTCCCGCACCCTGGGCGCTGAGTTTTCTTGGTTCCAGAAACGTCAAAGCCAGAACTATCACGCTATTCGCTACGGTGCTGGTCTGTGAGAGGTTTCGGCTGCAGTGCACTCTTCCTGAGCCGGCATCGGCCGCGCTTCGCGCGTTTTGCAGTGCGGCCCATCATGAAGCTGCTCGGCGGCTTCCGCTGGGAGCTCCAGCTCTTCGACGAGGACGAGGTTGACCCGGAGAGTGAGCTTTCATCCCGGGAGACCTGCTCGTGCCTTGATGACGCTGGCTCCTTCTTCGACGAGCCCGCTGGGAGGCTGGGAGACTTGACTCCGCTCCAGCGCAGAGAGCTGCGGGAAGCACACGCTCTCATCCAGTCGGTGCGTCACGCACATGGCGGGTCACCCTCCATCTTTGCGCTGGCCGAGAGCGGCAGCTGCAGGTGAGCAACGCGATTTTGACACCCTGTTTTGACACCCTGCCCCACACCACGAGCTACGGCTAGGTACGAGCTGTCGATGACCTGGGAGTCGTCGCACGTCGCCCTCGTGACGCAAAAGATAGAGGCGGTGCCGCTCTCGATGCTCGAGTGCGTCGCCCTCGTACGGGAGCCGGATCTGATCCCGCTGCCGCGCTGGCCGGGTCTGCCGCGGATCGAGCACATTGCAAACGTGCACGAGTTTGCGCCAAACAATGTGGTCTACCACGTCGCGATCGAGCCGTGGGGACCCTTCCCCGGTTACGACTCGGTCTGCTGCGCCGTCGGCGTCGTGCGCAGCGACGTGGGCGGCGACGGCACCGGCAAGGCCTGCGTCGGCTTTGCACGGTGCCACAGCTCACTCTGCACCCCGGCTCTACACCCAGTGCCGCGCGCGCCCTGCCCGTGAGCTCACGCCCTGCCCCACGCCTCCGCACAGCTCTCCGCCGGAGGACGAGGAGGAGCCGCGGGAGGCTGCGTCCGCGGCTGGCTCAGGGACGTGTCCGCGACACGTCCATGACGCGTCCCCGTAGGAGCACCGTGGCTGGAGGGTGCTGCCGCGGCTGCCGCGGCGGGTGCGCATGCACGTCGACGGCTTCGCGTGGGTGGTCGCGCCCTCCTCCGCGGTCGAGGGGCACATCGACATCACCACCTTCATGAAGACCAACATCGCCGTCCCGCACTGGCTGATCCCGCCCTCGCTGGTGCGGTGGGTGACGCCGAAGGTGCTGATCCTCCCGCCTCCCACCCACCCACTCACCCACCCACCCACCCACCCACCAACCCACCCACGCGCGCGCGCACGCTACCCGTTCGCCCGTCCCGCGGTACCCGCCCCGTAGGACAAGAGCACCTGTCGTGCCGAGTTTGTTCTCTTCATTCATAGGTCTTCCGCGGCCTCCTCTCCCTCCTCACCGAGCAGAACAAGGCGCCGTTCCGCGCCCGCGTGGCGGCGGACGAGCGCGGCTTCTACTCGGTGGGCGGCGAGGGGCATCCGCCGG